AAATAATAAAATAATAAAAATAAAACATGATAAAATACAATTCTCACGACGTTTCGGCCACAACGCAAGCAGCCGTCCTCAGGTGAAAAACAGGGCTGTCGAAAAGACAGCGTCCTAATGAACACCACCAAGCTTGGCAGCGTATATTTAAGCTGGGGTTAGAGGAGGAGAGTGCCTTGACAAAAAAAATAAAACATAATAAAATACAATTCTCACGACATATCATATATCATGATATGTAAATTCCGTCGTGAGAATTGTATTTTATTATGTTTAAATTTTATTATTTTATTATTTCATGATATGTAAATTACGTCGTGAGAATTGTATTTTATTATGTTTAAATTTTATTATTTTATTATTTCATGATATGTAAATTACGTCGTGAGAATTGTATTTTATTGTTTTATTTTTATTATTTTATTATTTCCCTATTAACATAGCCACTTCCGTGCCCTCTAAGTTCTCACATTAACATCATGCTAATCTCTCGCATTAACATAGCCACTTCCGTGCCCTCTAAGTCCTCACATTAACATCATGCTAATCTTTCGCATTAACATAGCCACTTCCGTGCCCTCTTCCAGGAGGCCGCTCTCCTCCTATCTTACAGTTACGTGCTAATTTCTCACATTAACATCACTAGCCCCGGCCACTTCTTTATGACCCTTATGCTACCCACCCATTGCAAACCTTTTAAAACAGTCTGCATCAGCAGCAGACCATGCTTCCCCACCTGATGATGGACGCTTGTGTTGCGCCCGAAACGTCGTGATTTATTTTAGTTTCTACCTACGTGACTTTACCGAAAGAACCAAAGATGATGGATTCCTGCAGTCACGAAAGCTTCAAATCAAGATAGCACAGAGCAATTTCATAACCACTTTCTCGCGTAAGAAGAGGGCAGCGCTGCGTGTGTCGTTCGCTGCTGTTGTTGTCACTTGCTGACCTGCCCCGCACTGGACATGTGCGAAACGAAGAGCTTCATGGCTCATCAGATTCCTCTTGCAGAAGAAGTCTAAATAAAGATTCTGACTCTGCGCGTTGGTAAACCATTCACGTCTCCTCTGCTCGGAGTATTGGGGAGCTGCTGCTGCTGCTTCGTGGTGTTATGTTGGTGTGGGTGCTGTTCTTGTTGCTGCCTTGAACAATCCTGAAAAAAACTCATCTATTAATATTTAGTGACTTGCTTACCATTTTACTCGACTTTCGGCACTCCCATCGTGTTGTTTTTGTCTTAGCTGCTGCTGCTGTTGTTGTCACGTTGCTGACCCCACCACCCAACCCTCGTGGCCCCGTACTGGGCATCTGTGAAGCGAAGAGCTTCATGGCTCATCGGATTTCCTCCTCCTGCAAGTAGGCGGAGTCCGGATAAAGATTCTAAATTTTCGAACAGCGACGCCGCGCCGCTACTGCCACCTGCTGGTGACCGCGTGCCACAGACATCAGAGGTCAAATTTCGAGTTAAAGCTTTCGTGACTGCAGGGATTCATCTTTTTGGTTCTTTCGGTAAAGTCACGTAGAAGGGAAATAATAAAATAATCAAAATAAAACTACATAAAATAATTCTCACAAATTATTTTATCATGTTTTATTTTTATTATTTTATAAAAAAGTAACGTAACATGGAAATAATAAAATAATAACAATAAAGCAATAAAATCATTCTCACTAATAATTTTATTCTGTTTTATTTTTATTATTTTATCATTTCAATTTTACGTGACTTTACCGAAAGAACCAAGAAGATCAGAGGTCAAGTTGAAGTCGTGGACGTGCAACGGCACTGCTGGGACTGGGTATTGACGCGGCGCTGAGACGGCGATGGACAATTCCGCGTTTCTATGACGGGGGCAAGTACATCGGCATTGAGGGCAATCGCTGAGTAAGGTTTAAAGGGTGGGCGGTATGGCGATGGAATTGTTCTAGAATCATAAACTCATCGTACGTGCATCCAGTTGCGGAGTGGGGAGGTCACGGGGCGGAGTGGGAGGTCACGGGGCGGAGTGGGAGGTCACGGGGCGGAGTGGGAGGTCACGGGGGGGCCGAGTGGGCGGGGCACTCACGACCGTTGGTGGTCACGGGGGGGGGCGAGTGGGTGGGGCACTCACGACCGTTGGTGGTCACGGGGGGGGGGGGCGAGTGGGCGGGGCACTCACGACCGTTGGTGGTCACGGGGGGGGGGGCGAGTGGGCGGGGCACTCACGACCGTTGGTGGTCACGGGGGGGGGGCGAGTGGGCGGGGCACTCACGACCGTTGGTGGTCACGGGGGGGGGGGGCGAGTGGGCGGGGCACTCACGACCGTTGGTGGTCACGGGGGGGGGCGAGTGGGCGGGGCACTCACGACCGTTGGTGGTCACGGGGGGGGGGGGCGAGTGGGCGGGGCACTCACGACCGTTGGTGGTCACGGGGGGGGGGGGCGAGTGGGCGGGGCACTCACGACCGTTGGTGGTCACGGGGGGGGGGGGGCGAGTGAGCGGGGCACTCACGATCGTTGGTGGTCACGGGGGGGGGGCGAGTGGGCGGGGCACTCACGATCGTTGGTGGTCACGGGGGGGGGCGAGTGGGCGGGGCACTCACGACCGTTGGTGGTCACGGGGGGGGGGGGCCGAGTGGGCGGGGCACTCACGACCGTTGGTGGTCACGGGGGGGGGGCGAGTGGGCGGGGCACTCACGACCGTTGGTGGTCACGGGGGGGGGGTCGAGTGGGCGGGGCACTCACGACCGTTGGTGGTCACGGGGGGGGGGGGTCGAGTGGGCGGGGCACTCACGACCGTTGGTGGTCACGGGGGGGGGGCGAGTGGGCGGGGCACTCACGACCGTTGGTGGTCACGGGGGGGGGGGGCGAGTGGGCGGGGCACTCACGACCGTTGGTGGTCACGGGGGGGGGGCGAGTGGGCGGGGCACTCACGACCGTTGGTGGTCACGGGGGGGGGCGAGTGGGCGGGGCACTCACGACCGTTGGTGGTCACGGGGGGGGGCGAGTTGGCGGGGCACTCACGACCGTTGGTGGTCACGGGGGGGGGGGGGTCGAGTGGGCGGGGCACTCACGACCGTTGGTGGTCACGGGGGGGGGGGGGGCGAGTGGGCGGGGCACTCACGACCGTTGGTGGTCACGGGGGGGGGGCGAGTGGGCGGGGCACTCACGACCGTTGGTGGTCACGGGGGGGGGGGGGTCGAGTGGGCGGGGCACTCACGACCGTTGGTGGTCACGGGGGGGGGGGGTCGAGTGGGCGGGGCACTCACGACCGTTGGTGGTCACGGGGGGGGGGGGCGAGTGGGCGGGGCACTCACGACCGTTGGTGGTCACGGGGGGGGGGCGAGTGGGCGGGGCACCCACGACCGTTGGTGGTCACGGGGGGGGGCGAGTGGGCAGGGCACTCACGACCGTTGGTGGTCACGGGGGGGGGGGCGAGTGGGTGGGGCACTCACGACCGTTGGTGGTCACGGGGGGGGGGCGAGTGGGTAGGGCACTCACGACCGTTGGTGGTCACGAGGGGGGGGGCGAGTGGGCGGGGCATTAACGACCGTTGGTGGTCACGGGTGGGGGGGCGAGTGGGCGGGGCATTAACGACCGTTGGTGGTCACGAGGGGGGGGGCGAGTGGGCGGGGCATTAACGACCGTTGGTGGTCACGGGGGGGGGCGAGTGGGCGGGGCACTCACGACCGTTGGTGGTCACGAGGGGGGGGGGCGAGTGGGCGGGGCATTAACGACCGTTGGTGGTCACGGGGGGGGGGGGGGCGAGTGGGCGGGGCACTCACGACCGTTGGTGGTCACGTGGGGGGGGGGGCGAGTGGGCGGGGCACTCACGACCGTTGGTGGTCACGTGGGGAGGGGGCGAGTGGGCGGGGCACTCACGACCGTTGGTGGTCACGGGGGGGGGGGGGCGAGTGGGAGGGGCATTAACGACCGTTGGTGGTCACGGGGGGGGGGGCGAGTGGGCGGGGCACTCACGACCGTTGGTGGTCACGGGGGGGGGGGGCGAGTGGGCGGGGCACTCACGACCGTTGGTGGTCACGGGGGGGGGGGGCGAGTGGGCGGGGCACTCACGACCGTTGGTGGTCACGGGGGGGGGGGCGAGTGGGTGGGGCACCCACCGCCGTTGGTGGTCACGGGGGGGGGCGAGTGGGCGGGGCACTCACGACCGTTGGTGGTCACGGGGACCGAGTGGGAGGGGCATTAACGACCGTTGGTGGTCACGGGGGGGGGCGAGTGGGCGGGGCACTCACGACCGTTGGTGGTCACGGGGGGGGGGGGGGCGAGTGGGCGGTGCATTAACGACCGTTGGTGGTCACGGGGGGCGAGTGGGCGGGGCACTCACGACCGTTGGTGGTCACGGGGGGGGGCGAGTGGGCGGGGCACTCACGACCGTTGGTGGTCACGGGGGGGGGGCGAGTGGGCGGGGCACTCACGACCGTTGGTGGTCACGGGGGGGGGGGGCGAGTGGGCGGGGCACTCACGACCGATGGTGGTCACGGGGGGCGAGTGGGAGGGTCACTCACGACCGTTGGTGGTCACGGGGGGGGGGCGAGTGGGCGGGGCACTCACGACCGTTGGTGGTCACGGGGGGGCGAGTGGGAGGGGCACTCACGACCGTTGGTGGTCACGGGGGGGGGGGGGGGCGAGTGGGCGGTGCATTAACGACCGTTGGTGGTCACGGGGGGCGAGTGGGCGGGGCACTCACGACCGTTGGTGGTCACGGGGGGGGGCGAGTGGGCGGGGCACTCACGACCGTTGGTGGTCACGGGGGGGGGGCGAGTGGGCGGGGCACTCACGACCGTTGGTGGTCACGGGGGGGGGGGCGAGTGGGCGGGGCACTCACGACCGATGGTGGTCACGGGGGGCGAGTGGGAGGGTCACTCACGACCGTTGGTGGTCACGGGGGGGGGGGCGAGTGGGCGGGGCACTCACGACCGTTGGTGGTCACGGGGGGCGAGTGGGAGGGGCACTCACGACCGTTGGTGGTCACGGGGGGCGAGTGGGAGGGGCACTCACGACCGTTGGTGGTCACGGGGGGGGGAGCGAGTGGGTGGGGCACTCACCGCCGTTGGTGGTCACGGGGCTCGGCAGGCGTGAGCGCTGTGGACATGGAGGCTGCAGGGCCTCTGCTGGGGTCGCTGTCCGGCAGGGTGCGGGTGAGACGCCTGCTCCCCCTGCTCCTCCTCCCCCACCGTGTACCGATTCGCAGCCCCCCCCCCCCCCGGCACCCCCCCTGGGGTGGGGGCTCTTGAAGCGGCGGTTGGAGACATTATTTATTTATTTATGAACGCCCAAACCACCACCACCAACCACCACCAGCATCACCAACCACCAGCACTAAACATCACCAACCACCAGCACCCACCATCACCAATCACCACAACCACCACCAACAACCACCACCAGCACCAACCATCACCACCCACCATCACCACCCACCACCAATCACCACAACCACCATCACCAACTACCACCACCCACCACCACCATCACCAACCACCACCACCCACCATCACCACCCACCACCAATCACCACAACCACCATCACCAACCACCACCACCCACCATCACCAACCAGCACCATCACCACAACCACCATCACCAACCACCACCATCCACCATCATCAACCACCACCAATCACCACAACCACCACCAATCACCACAACTACCACCAACAACCACCAGCACCACCCACCAACCACCAGCACCACCCACCACCGTCTCTACTATCCACTCAGCGCGATGTGCATTGCGGCTCTCTGTTAATATTGTTGTCTTTTAGTTTCTTCAAAATACGATCAAGAAAATGTCTCTTATTGTTATGTGTGAGAGTGTGCGTGAGTGTGCGTGAGTGTGAGAGAGTGTGTGAGAGTGAGAGAGTGTGTGAGTGTGTGTTGGTGTGTGTGAGTGTGTGAGAGTGAGAATGTGTATGAGAGTGTGTGATAGTGTGTGAGTGTGTGTTGGTGTGTGTGTGAGAGTGAGAGTGTGTGAGTGTGTGTGAGTGCGAGTGAGTGTTTGAGTGAGTGTGTGAGTAAGTGTGGAAGAGTGTGTGTGAGTGTGTGTGAGTGTGCGAGTGAGTGTGTGTGTGAGAGTGTGTGTGAGAGTATGTGTGTGTGAGTGTGTGTTGGTGTGTGTGAGTGTGTGTGAGTGTGTGAGAGTGTGTGTGTGTGTGAGAGTGTCAGTGAGTGTTTGAGTGTGAGAGGAAGTGTGTATGAGTGTGTGTGAGTCTGTGTGTGAGAGTGTGTGAGCGTGTGTGTGTGTGAGAGAGTGTGTGAGAGTGTGTGTGTGAGATTGTGTGCGAGTGAGTGTGTGAGTGAGTGTGTGTGTGTGAGAGTGTGTGTGTGTGTGAGAGTGTGTGTGAGTGTGTGAGTGTGTGTGTGAATGTGTGTGTGTGAGAGTGTGAGCGTGTGTGAGTGTGTGTGAGAGTGTGTGAGTGTGTGTGTGACAGTGTGTGTGAGAGTGTGTGAGAGTGTGTGTGAGTGTATGAGAGTGTGTGAGAGTGTGTGTGAGTGTATGAGAGTGTGTGAGTGTATGAGAGTGTGTGTGACAGTGTGTGTGAGAGTGTGTGAGAGTGTGTGTGAGTGTATGAGAGTGTGTGTGAGTGTATGAGAGTGTATGAGAGTGTGTGAGTGTGTGTGAGAGTGTGCGAGTGAGTGTGTGAGTAAGCACCTGCCTGGGTATTTTGTACCATCGGATACTCCACCCCCACAACTCCCAATCGGTGATGGGGCAGTTGTGGAGAGAGTGGAGAGTTTCCCATACCTGGGCAGTGTGCATATGACTGGCTCCAGTTTAACAGCAGAGGTCTCACTCCGAATCAGTCGAGCGGTAATATCTTTTCATCAATTGCGTAACGCTGTGTGGAAGCTACCTGGTCTGTCGCTCCGCACGAAGCTTCAAGTCTTCTCGGCCACAGTCATTCCCTCCCTTCTCTACGCTTGCGAAACGTGGACCCCCCTAATGGAGCATCTTCGCCGGTTGGAAACATTTAGGCTGGCCTGCCTACGATCCATCCTGGGTTTAACCAGGCTGGATTGTGTGAGGAGCTCACAAATACTTTAAAGATCTGGGCAAAGTCCCATCAGTGAGCTCCTCCGGCAGGCAAGGGTGCGTTGGCTGGGTCATGTAGCCCGCATGCCCAGCCACCGCATGCCAAAACAGCTTTTGTTCGGCCGGATCGAGGGGCCTAAACGGGCGCGGCACGGGCTAGAGAAGAGATGGAGTTATGTGGTACAGGAGGACGGAAGAGATGGAGTGATGTAGTACAGGAGGACGGATCTTTGTCTTTCGTGTGACCGCTGCAGGAGATGGAGAATACCATCCACCTGATGAAGCATGACATCGACCAGGCAATGAAGATGAACCTCAGTAGTGATCTTACAAAGCGGCATCACCACCATCACCACCATCACCACCGCCATGGACACGTGCACAGGTATGACGGACGCTAACAACCTTTTGTCGGTTCAATGACCCGTCCGTCACACCTAGATATGCGTATATATGTTCGATAAAATATAGTCAAACAGTTAATTAATTCACTGGCATGAACGAGTGAATAATACATCAGATATGATAATTGGTTTTTTTTACCCTTTTATCTGGCAACAAAACTGACACCTTTTTTACAAGGAGTCATGTTTGCATTGACCACAATACCTGCGGTCGGAATGCAAACAAAAAACACAACTCTGATAATGTATGCACTGTCCTTGAAATTGATTGGTCCACACCCGAGACAGCTTTTCTTAGAGCCTAGTCTCACTTGGTGTTGGACCAGATAACGCCAAAAGGTGCACCGCATGTATTGTGGTCAATGCAAACATGACTCCTTGTAAAAAAGGTGTCAGTTTTGTTGCCAAATAAAAGGGTATAAAAACAATTATCATATTTTGCTACTGGCAAAGCAGGTTCCAATAGTGAATAATAAATCAATCGATGTATGGTCCTGTATTATGTTTCTTCACTATTTTTCATTCATTTGTCATTTAATACTGTGCGGTATAAACTATGACATTATTTTCATTATTAATTGTCTTTGTTTACAATACGACTGGTAAGTTACGAAGTGTGTTTATGGTGTGAAATGGCGAATTACGAAAGACTGGGTTCTAACGTTAGAAGTTATTCAACATACGAAGCTAAAATATCCGAACGACGCTCCGGGAACGCATCTCCTTCGTACATCGAGGTTATTGCTGTTGCGCTCTTCGCTGGCCGGCAAGAGTGAACTTTACATAACTGAATCAGTTCCGGCACAATTTATTTTCAAATCCTACCACATTTTAGTTTTTACGTCTTCCCAAAATTGCAACTTCCTCACTTGCGTGTGGCGCGTCGCTCTTCCACAGCGAGGATGACGATTACCCTGGCTGGGATTCGACCCAGGATGCTTCCGGATCGGACGAAGGAGGCACAAAGGGTGCACACGATTCCAAAAACCTGGTAAGGACTCGCACCAAAGTTAAAGAGCGCCCGTGCGTAGCCTCAACAGGCGAGCAGCACCGATGAAGGCCCGGAACTGCACACCAGGGGGTGGGTGGCCAGCGCCACGCCCGGCCCGCCTTTGTCTCCCCAGTTGCGATATTTTTACACACCGCACCAGGTGCTCATTTGAGGCTGAGTCGATCGAGGGGAGGCCCCAGACCAGTTGAGATAATATAATCGTCGCTGGTGTTGGCCGTGAGCGGGAATCGAACTCGGGTCGCTGGTTTCGTAGGGCAGCACGCCAACCGCTATGCTGCCGCACCAAAAACAAAGATCCCCCATATAGCCTGTAACAGACTGTTGGGGCAAGCGTTTTTAGTGAGCACCTATGAAGGCCGGCATGGCACGCGAGGGGTCGGTGGCGAACACCACGCCCGGCCACCTTTGTCCCCCTAGTGGCGATTTTTACAAACTGCACCAGGTACTCATTAAGGATGAGTCGACCTAGGGTAGGCCCGGAACCGGTTCAGATAACCATCACTGGTGTTTGCCGCAGAGGTGGGACAAAGTCATTGTTATGCAAGTCCAAGTCGAGTCTGAAGTCATCAAATTCATGACTCGAGTCTGACTCGAGTCCAAGTCACATGACTCGAGTCCACACCTCAGAGGTGGGACAAAGTCATTGTTATGCAAGTCCAAGTCGAGTCTGAAGTCATCAAATTCATGACTCGAGTCTGACTCGAGTCCAAGTCACATGACTCGAGTCCACACCTCTGGTTTGCCGTGAGCGGGAATCGAACTCGGGTAGGCCGGGATTGTAGCACAGCGTAGCGCTAACCGTTACGCTACCGCAATACACACACACGCACACACACGCACCATACGCACACACATGCACACACACCAATAGGTAAGCAAATCTGATTGATGCGTCATTTGTAAGTTGGTCGGTCTTCTCAAGTTAAATTCTATTTTCTTTAACCTTCTTGAAGACTCGGGGTGATCGCTGCGAGCGCTCATTTGCTAACCGCGACCCGGGTCACCGAAATGATGAAGAGCAAAAAGAAAACCACCGTCGCGTTCACAAAATCGTCGTGCTTCCTCTACCCTCGGGCGACAGTGGATGACGCAAGTTGCCGAGAAGTCGATGGGGCATTGGACGACTCGGGGGGGGGGGGGGGGGGGCACCCGTGATGAATGCCAGCCCTGTGCGTCGGTATGTCCAGTCGTTCATTGTCCGCGTCGCTGCCTTTGGCGATGTCGCACACACGGAACGTCCCGCAGCTGAGGAAGGCCGGTCGGGCGAAACGTGAAAGTGTTTCATTTCTTCTCGGTGACAGTGAAAAAAATGCACTGCAGGGACTCCTCTACTTACGGACACTCGACTTACAAACTTTCAGAGATACGAACAAACCTGTCCCCGTGTGTTCAGTTGCCTGTTCGGACCGAAAGTCGTAGGTTCGACCGCCGCGCAATAGATGGCGGTGTTGGCATCTACATCTGCAGAACGTGAAGAACCAGTGGCATCTACATCTGCAGAACGTGAAGAACCAGTAGCATCTACATCTGCAAAACATGAAGAACCAGTGGCATCTACATTTGCAGAACATGAAGAACCAGTGGCATCTACACCTACAGAACGTGAAGATTCAGTGGCATCTACATCTGCAAAACATGAAGAACCAGTGGCATCTACATTTGCAGAACGTGAAGAACCTGTGGCATCTACATCTGCAGAACGTGAAGAACCAGTGGCATCTACATCTGCAAAACATGAAGAACCAGTGGCATCTACATTTGCAGAACGTGAAGAACCAGTGGCATCTACATCTGCAGAACGTGAAGAACCAGTGGCATCTACATCTGCAGAACGTGAAGAACCAGTGGCATCTACATCTGCAAAACATGAAGAACCAGTGGCATCTACATTTGCAGAACATGAAGAACCAGTGACATCTACACCTACAGAACGTGAAGAATCAGTGGCATCTACACCTACAGGAGATTAAACAACTTTTGAAGCCATTCCCCGTGTTTAGTGTACACGCCGTACAACATGTTTGGAATCGACAGGAGTAAAGTTGGACTTACGAACAAATCGACTTACGAACAGACCTCTGGAACCTAACACGTTCGTTAGCAGAGGAGACCCTATAGTTTTTTAATGAACCCGACCTGTTATGTTAATTTATACAGTGAACAATGACCCATAGCCACTGTATACAGTACATTTAGTGGTTTTTTTTCTTCCCATAAAGAAATCAGCAAACTGTTGCCACTTTAATGACTTTAAACCCCCCGCCAAACCTCCTACGCATTTCACAAGTAGTACTGATCGCATATCTGCATTTCCCATGGATATGCTAAATTCCTCTTGATATGCAAATTATTTTGTCAGGGCGCTCTTCCCCCCTCCATCCCAGCTTTAATGGTCGCTCCAAGCCTGGGGTTGTCGTTCAGACTCTGTCTTCTCGACGGACCTGTTCTCCACCTGAGGACGGCTGCTTGCGTTGTGGCCGAGACAGGAGGTGTTTAGATGTTCAAACACCAATTAGAAACATTTTGCAAGGAATCAATTCTGCATTAACCACACAGAGTACTTGCGGTGAACATGCAGACAAACTCGCTCTGACAGTGACATATGATGCATTGCCTTTGAAACTGATTGGCCTACGCGAGAGACAGCAGCCTTGTTCTTCATGGTTCTTTCAATAGAGTTGATATGCAAATTCCTTTATCAAGGCGCCCTTCCTCCCCTAACCCAGCTTAAATATACGCTGCCAAGCTTGGTGGTGCTCATTCAGACGCTGTCTTTCCGACAGACCTGTTCTTCACCTGAGGACGGCTGCTTGCGTTGTGGCCGAAACGTCGTGAGAATTATTTTATTATGTTTTATTTTATTATTTCCCTTCTACGTGACTTTACCGAAAGAACCAAGAAGATGTTGCCAAGCCATTGATTTACTTCTTAATTCCATTTCACCAGGCGAGGCCCCACTGGGGTAGGCAGCTCTTTTCTTAGAAGCGACCTGGCCATCGCAAACGATAGCACGGCGAATTGGCTCATCATCGTGTGGACATTACATGGTATCGGTTTCCCAACTGAGTTTCACGGTAATGTGGGGGGGGGGGGGGGGGGGGGGGATGCGTGCTTGATCAGTAATTGAACTGTGCGAAAGAACTTGAGGGGGGAGGGAAAAAAAACAAGAATCGCTCTTTGGACAATTCGCTGTTTAGAGCGACGGTTCTTAACCTTTACTGCAGCCTTTGCACCCCTTTGGTTCTCGGTCGTAAAACATTTCAACAATGTCAATAAAGACGTCGGGGTTTGCTGAAACAAGGTGAGTTGTGACTCACGTTGCCCGTGCGCAATTTGTGTTTTCGATGATTCACCTTCTCAAAAAAAATCTGTCTTGAACCCCCATGGGGTGGCGTGGTGCACCCCAGGTTAAGAAGAATCACTGGTGTAGTGTATAGTGTAGTGTATAGTGTAGTGTATAGCGTAGTTTATAGTGTAGTGTATAGCGTAGTGTAGTGTTTAGTGTAGTGTATAGTAGTGTAGTGTATAGCGTAGTGTATAGTAGTGTAGTGTATAGTGTAGTGTATAGTGTAGTGTATAGCGTAGTGTAGTGTATAGCGTAGTTTATAGTGTAGTGTATAGTAGTGTAGTGTTTAGTAGTGTATCGTGTAGTGTATAGTAGTGTGTAGTGTCGTGTATAGTAGTGTAGTGTATAGTGTAGTTTATAGTGTAGTGTATAGTAGTGTATAGTGATGTCGTGTTTAGTAGTGTATAGTGTCGTGTACAGTAGTGTAGTGTATAGTGTAGTGTATAGTAGTGTATAGTATAGAGTAGTAGTTCTTAACCTTTACCACAGCCTTGCATCGCTTTGGTTCTCAATTGTAAAAAACATGTATAATGTTATGTCGCCCGTGCTTAATTTGTGTTTTCGATGATTTACCTTCTAAAATCTGTCCGTGTCTTGCCACCCTCGAGAAAGGGCATCTCGCACCCCCAGGGGTGGCGTGCACCCCCAGGTTAAGAAGAAGAACCACTGCTTTAGAGCTCACCGTCTTCGTGTTTTACTCTCCGTCTTGAGCGTACGACTGTCTGTTCCATGTGTCAGTACGGCGCACGTTTAACCCCGCGTCCCCGTCGCCGCAGGCCGGCGTTCGTCTGCCAGAGGCACCGTGCAAGTGGCAGTATTTGATCCCCGACTCGGAGTCGGTCTGCACCAGCGACGGCTGCTACATCCAAGTCGGCCACAGCCACGCCGCCTTCTCGCTGCCCAAAGGCACCTGCGGCGATTTCCACGACCTACTGCCGCAGGACCTCAGCTCTGGCTTGCTGGATTCTGACCTCAGGGAAAGCCAGCTGAACGTCACCCCGTCGCAGTCGAGCCACGGCGAGAGCGAGTCCCGCGAATTCCTGCGTAAGGATCTCGGCGCCAACTCGTTGGACTGCAACGTTGGCCTCTCGTTCTCCGGCACCGTCCTGGCCAACGAGTCGACTCCGCGCGCTCCGCAGGCGACCGGCGCATCGGCGTTCCGCGGCCATCACCGCCAACACTACCGCAGCCACCGCTGTCGCCGCCACCAAGGTTCACGGGCGTCTCGACAGCAGCAGCAGCAGCAGCAGCGGCGGCGGCTTCGGTGGAGCGTGTCACGCGAGCCCGCCTGCTCGCGGAAGCTCGGCACCGACGGCGAAACTGGCCACCGAGAGGAGTTGGCCCAATTTGGCCGTCGGAGGGCCGTCCAGCCGACGCGCTCCGCCACCGACAGCGATTCCTACGGCGAGCTCGCCTCGAGCGACTCGGACGATTCCAGCGTCGGCCGCCGGTCGGGCCCCGGCGCGCCGCTGCGCTTTTGCTCCGGAGACGCCGGCCGCTCGATCCGCGCCATCGTCAGCAGGGGCAGGCAAACGACTCGGGCCGCGGTGCGCTTGCTGATGTCCCTGGGCGCTTGCGATTTCGCGAACGGCCTCGCGGTCGCCTGCCTTTGCTTCACAGTCACGTTCACGCTGTGCATCGTGTACCTGTGGCTCATCTCCAGCTACGCGGTGTCCTGCGTCCACGTGAAGAGCTTTGGGAAGGCGGTGGCGTGTTCGGGATCGGTGCCGGTGTAACGAGCGCAGGAGACGCGTGCGGGTGCTCGAGCGTCGACCCGTACTCGGCGGCGAGTTGCGGGCGACGATTGCACGCGCTTACGGAGGGCGGGAGGAATGGTTGGAATGGCAAGATGGCATTTTGGAGCGCGACGGGGGAAGGATTTGTGATTGCTGGATTCAATTGCAAATAAACATTTGGGAACGGTGGCTAAATGCAGTCTTCTGGAGTCTCTGTGACTTTTATAAACGCAGTTTATTGTTAAATTTCATTCCAAGGCCACTCGGGGAAAATGCGTGCATCATCGGTAATTGAAGTGTTCAACATAACAATAGAGGGCTGTACATTACGAACTTAACGATTTTGACAGTGCATGCCGAAAGAACATCCTAACACCTGTTTTATTGCCAGAAAGGGTAATTATTTTTTTTATACTTTGATACTGGCAAAGAGGTCCCATTCTGTAGCTGCTCACCCAGAGCTCTGAATCCCCTGATAGTGGCATTGTCCTGCTACTGTTCGCCTTCTTGCGTCCTCTGGTCTGCCACTGGTAGTGAGACTGGGCCATGAAGAACAAGGCTGCTTTTCGATTTAAAGCTTTCGTGACTGCAGAGATTCATCTTCTTGGTTCTTTCGGTAAAGTCACGTAGAAGGGAAATAATACAATAATACAAATTAAACATAATAAAATACAATTCTCACGACGTTTCGGCCACAACACAAGCAGCCGTCCTCAGGTGAAGAACAGGTCTGTCGGAAAGACAGCGTCTGAATGAACACCACCAAGCTTGGCAGCGTATATTTAAGCTGGGTTAGGGGAGGAAGGGCGCCTTGACAAAGGAATTTGCATATCAACAGAGTTGCATTTCCGACAGACCTGTTCTTCACCTGAGGACGGCTGCTTGCGTTGTGGCCGAAACGTCGTGAGAATTGTATTTTATAATGTTTTATTTTTATTATTTTATTATTTCCCTTCTACGTGACTTTACCGAAAGAACCAAGAAGATCAAGGCTGCTGTCTCTAGCGTCGGCCAATCAGTTTCAAAGCCAATGCATCACATGTCACTGTCAGAGCGAGTTTGTCTGCATCTTCACCGCAAGTACTCTGTGTGGTTAATGCAGAATTGAGTCCTTGCAAAAGGTTTCTATTTGGTGCTTGAACATCTTAACACCTCCTGTTTTATTGCCAGAAAGGGTAAAAGCGATTTTTATTTTTTCAAACAAATGTCATTGTTTGCGAGTTACAGACGAAACCACACAACCCCTGTTGTCGCTGTCAAACATAGTGCAGAACAGAATGGAGTTAGCTCACGAGCCATATATACACGTGTATGCATCGAATCAATGTTTTGTACTCATTTTAATGGGTTCAACGAACTCCACCAGCCCACTAGAAGCCACCGCGTTAACTGCAGTGCAAAGAAAGAAAAAAACTATACACATACATTTTACATTGATTCCAATGTCCTTTTTTTCAGTCGACAAAAGCTAAGGCATGCTAATCTTGATTTGAAGCTTTCGTGACTGCAGGAATCAATACTCTTTGGTTCTTTCGGTAAATTCACGTGGGTAGAAAAATCAAAAGATCACGACGTTTCGATCGCAACACAAGCGATCGTCATCAGGTGGGACAACCACAGCCAACATAAGCAGTTTTTTCTTGCTGCTATAATGTTATTTGATATTCATTACTGATGAAAACATTATACCGGGGTCATCCCTCGAGATGGAACATTGTTAGTTGACGATATCCAGGGCGTCGAGTTACACACAGCAAACACACAAGGACAAATATCGCCCGTATAGCCTGAACAGACTGTTGGGGCAAGTGCTGTTAGCGAGCACCTATGAAGGTTGACATGGCACACGAGGGGGTGGGTGGCTAGCACCACGCCCGGCCGCCTTTGTCTCCCCAGTGGCGATGTTTACACACCGCGCTAGGTACTCGTTTTCAGGCTGAGTCGACCTAAGAGAGTCCCAGGACCGGTACAGATAATCGTCAATGGCGTTGGCCGTGAGCGGGAATCGGACTCGGGTCGCCGGGTTCGTAGCGCAGCGTAGCGCTAACCGCTGCACCACCGCTCCTCACAGCAAACACATAACGGACACGTCTACACACACACTTTAAAATATACAACACGTGCAGTTTAGACGGTCATACAATGCCATACACATTGAGTGTCAAGAACGGGCTGAAGTCTATTGCGTGGGGCTAATGACACACTGGGGCCGTCCATAAATGACGTCACGCACCTAGGGGGGGGGGGTGCTCAAACATTTGTGACGTCACATCAAAATGCGCAGCTTTAAATAAATATAGACATGTTCTACTTAATTAAATAGATTTTTTAATAAATGTTTTCTCGTACAACATCAGAGTGCAGCGCCACATTAAATACGCACTACGATGACAATAATTTAAAGCGATTTGAAGCATGTTTTTTTTGGGGGGGGGGTAGAGCTTTGTGACGTCATATTTGAGGGGGGTCTGACTTTTTGTGACGCCGTGTGACGAGGGGGGGGGGGGGGGAGGTCAAAAATCGTCCAAAATCGCGTGACGTCATTTATGGACAGCCCCTAGGACATTCACCGTTGCGTTGCCCCCTGCAAACTGGTACACGTTTTATCGACCCCACCATCACCGAGGCAGGGATGATGGGTCGAGTGAACCCCCAACCAGGGGTTTGATTTCACAATCCTCCAAGTGAGAGCCACTCGTTCCACCGCTACCTGGGCGACTCAACTTGAAACAGGAAAGTACAGGGTGGTGGTCCAGATGTCTTGTGACCACCCCTCCCCTCCGCTCCCCCAATTAATTTACCGCTAACATTTTAAATAAACCCTACTAGAAACATATAAAATTGTAGATAATTAAACGGGTCAGAAGATATCTGCACCACCCGGTACAAGGCAGTGTTATTTAATGCGTTGCAGTTTGCCCGGACACCTGAAATTAACCACCCACCCCACCTCATTTAGTGCGCTAAGTCGAGGTTTTACTCTCTTTCTTATTCGTATGGTTGATGTAGAACAGGGGTGGGGAACCTTTCTTCTACTCTTTGGTTTTTTCGGTAAAGTCACGTAGGTATAAAATTAAATAAATGAAAACATCTTCTTGGTTCTTTCGGTAAAGTCACGTAGAAGGGAAGTAATAAAATAATATAAATAAAACATAATAAAATAATTCTCAGGTGAAAACCAGGTCCGTAGAGGCGACAGCGTCTGAATGAAACAGCACACGAGTTTGGAGCATATATATAAGCTGGGCGCCTTGACAAAGGAATTTGCAAGAAATTTTTTTAAATGAAAACAACTAAATTAAATCACGACGTTTCGGAGGCAACACAAGCTTCCGTCTTCAGGTGGAACCAGCGACTTTGGCTGTAACGGTTCCACTTGAAGACGGAAGCTTGTGTTGCCTCCGAAACGTCGTGATTTAATTTAGTTGTTTTCATTTATTTTATTTTTCACCTACGTGACTTTACCGAAAAAACCAAAGAGTATGAATCCTTGCAGTCACGAAAGCTTCAAATTTAGAACACTTTTTCTGCCAATGGCCATTTGGATATTTATAACATCATTCGCGGGCCATACACAATTATCAACTTAAAAATTAGCCTGTTAAATTTAGTCAAATATTTAATTAACTCGCCTCTAATGCGATGGCTGGAACTGCTTCTCTTTGGCGAGGCGTGTGATGATGTTAGCTGCTGGTATTGATGATGATGTTGCTACTCGCAACTGCTTTTCCAGGTTTGCTCCTAGATTTGTTGAATTTCGAGTCTCGCCTGCGGTTGCCTTGGCAGGGCCACACCAAATGATTTCGCGGGCCTCGTACGGCCCGCGGGCCGGACGTTCCCCACCCCTGATGTAGAGCAACAGCTCCAATTTTGCATTCTTGTGGCGAAGGCAGAGACAGCCGGCGTCAGGCGAAGAGGGGTAGTGTGTATCATCGCTGTCATTTCAGTTTATGAGTGCAGTATTTTCTAAAATCTGATTGAATCGTAATAAAACTATTTTTTTGCATGTAAAGGCACCACTGGAGCTACACAGGAGCTCTTTCCGACAGACCTGTTCTTCACCTGAGGACGGCTGCTTGCGTTGTGGCCGAAACGTCGTGACAATTATTTAATGTTTTATTTTTATTATTTTATTATTTCCCTTCTACGTGACTTTACCGAAAGAACCAAGAAGACTACACAGGAGCTCTGTTTCAGAAGCGACCTGGCTCCCACAAATGATCGCTCAACGAAGTTGGGCTTATCACGTGGACATTGATATCAGCCAAAATAATCTAAACGCGTGTTTCTCTAAATGTGGAGGGAAAACCCGGAGGGCCCGGAGAAAAATCCACGCGACCACGCGGAGAGACACCACAAACTCCAAATATATACAGCAGCAGGCGTCGGGATCGGGATCGAACCCACGACCTCCTGCATACCAGGCGAGGCAGTTAACATCTCACCACCGCACTGTCTGGGACATACACATCATTACATGAGAATAAAAAAACCCCATAGTCATTGTGATAACCAATTACTGAATAGCTTCGTCAAGACGGGCTGGCAACGTTTTGGAGCACAGGATCTAATCGGCTCGAACGCGCTCTGGCAAATTGCGTGAAGAGACGTGGCCACGTGGTTCAGTGGCGGTGTGGAGATCACGTGCTCAGCCCGGCGGTCACGCGCTCGGGATGACGGGGGCCGTCACGCGCGCGGTGACGTCACAGCCCCCCCCCCCATTTCCCCTCCCCCCAGCTGACCTCTCACCGTCGGAAGGAGCGGTGGCGGAAGTGGTTAGCGCGTTGCGCTTCACGAAACCCCCCCGCTCACGGCCACCGACGACCAAACCCACCCCTAGGTCGACTCAGCCTCAAGCGAGTGCCTGGTGCCACAGTGGCGGTGTGTAAAAAAACCATCGCCATTGATGAAGGGAGACAAAGGCGGCCGGGCGTGGTTGCTGCCCCCCCCTAAACCCCAAACCCCCGTGCCCTACCCAACGTGTGCCCGTGTCGACCTTCAAAGGGTACTGCTACTCGCCAACGGCACTTGCCCCAACAACAGCCTGTTAGAGGCTATACGGGGAGCTTTGTCTTTGTGTTTTTTTTTGGGGGGGGGGGGTGAGGTGGGGTGTGGGGGAAGCACGCGATTGGTTGGAACGCGAGCGCGAGCCCGGCGCGGGGGACCAATCACGCGGCGCGGCCTTGCGCGCCTATAAAT